TTACGATGTATAATATTTAAAAAAATTTTAAATGCTTATATATTTATATTTTTATTTAAAAAAACGAACAAAAAAACAAAATTTTTTTAACGCTATTACGTGTGCTTGAGTTTATTTTCCATTTTTTCGCCGACATTGTGTTTTTACGCACATACGAGTGTATTTCGACATGCACTTACATTTTCTTTTTTTCTTTTCCAGGACGGCTGGAAAAGAACGATGCAGTTTACGAGGAGCCGAAATTTTCATTGTACTTTTTCTTTTTTTACTATGTTGTACCTCGGTCTCATACAGTAAGGAAAGACGACCGGACGCTGCTAAACCTAGCAAGCTATCAGAAGAGTGTTTCCCGACGACAAACTCGTTGGGTTTAAACTTCTGGCTGGCCACGTCTTAGGGTCATCACTACCCAACTAGGGGGGAGTGATCTGTAGCGGTAAATAAATAAATAAACGCCGAGCTCAACTGCTACTGCAATCGCTAGCCAGATTAGATCAGATAATTCCGATATATTGGCAATCGTCAAATACAATTTCTGATCTCCTCGATTCTGTCTTTTGATTTCTCCTCGTGGGTACGAATTATATTAGAAGGTGTTACTGGTAAAAGCGTTGTCAAACACTGAATACCTGTGCCATCTTCAGGAGCAACTCATAGTAAGAAAACGTGAAACTGAATCTGGATGTTCGCTTTTTTATATTTAATCCTTCGAGGGTCGCCTCGAGTAGCATGTTGACGATGTTATGGTAATAAGCTCTCACTAGAGTGGTTTGTCTTTTCTATACGTTTAATGCTATTACGAGATCACCTCTTATTGTCCTATGGCTTAAAGAGAATAATCCTAGGTGTAGGAGTCTGTCCGTCTTAGATTTCTTGTATAGCCTCATCAGCTGCTGTACCTCGTCCAGGACATTTATATCGCTTCCGAAGAGAGGGGGCAACAATATTTCTGGTTTGATTGTGCCAAGTTGTTTACATGACATTTCTACAGGTTACTTTCTAACCCATTGTCTACTGTTCATCTCTCGATTATCGCAACGTCCTTCTGAAGTTCAGTAGAATGCTTTTCGCTTTTCATGGACGTCTAGAACTTGTATCGTTTTTATAGAATAGTGACGCCGAGCTTATTTTACCTAGTAGGTCGTCAACAAAGATTAAAAACAGGAGATGACTTTTGCGAAACTCCTGCTGTTGGGACCTTCTCATTCGTATATACTCTATTTAGCGATTGGGCGATCCCTACATGTAGATGTGTCACACAGTAAGGTTTCCCTACCTGTTCTCATCTGTTTGATGCGTAGTTTGAGGGTTGTAGACGATAACACGTGCTGAAGATCAGTGTCTTCTTTTTGAAGCTGGGCGAGTTTAAGAAGGTCGATTCCTTGGAAACTGTTCAAGGAAGTTATGCGGGATAAGGCGTCTGCGACTACATTGTTTGCTCCAGAAATGTGTTGAATATCTGAAGTAAACTGCGAAATGTAGTCCAGTTGTCGAGACTCACGAGGTGAATACCTGTCTGAAGAGCTTAGCGAGAAAGTAAGAGGTTTATGGTCAGTGAAAAGGGTGAATTCACGGCCTTCAATGTAGTTTTGAAAATGTCATACAGCACAATACATAGCTAGGAGTTCCCTACCGAATGTGCTGTACCTCGATTCGGTGTCTAGCAACCGTCTAGAGAAAAATGCCAAGGGTTGCCAGGAGTTGTTAACCCATTGTTGTAAGACTCCTCCGATTGCCGAATCGGATGCGTCTACTGCAATACTAATTGGTGCTCGGGCGTCCTGATGTGCAAGCATTGTTGCTTTGGCGATGAGTTCCTCAATTGTGGAGAATGCTTTTCGTGCGGTGTCGTCCAAATTAATGGATTTCGCATTTCCACGAAGTTGGTCGGTAAGAGGTTTCATGAGTAACGCGCATTTCGGTATGAATCGTCTACAGAAACTTACAAGGCCGTTAAACGTTCGTAGCTGCTTGATCGTGGTCGGTTCTGGGTAACCTAGAATGACCACCGCTTTGGCTCTAAAGGGTGGGATTCCTTCAGCATCTATAGTATGTCCTAGAAAGTTAAATGAGTCGGTTCCGATTTGGCATTTCTGAATGTTCACAGTAATGCCATGTCTTTGAAGTCGATCGAAAACAAGATCCAGATGCTTGAGATGTGTTTCTCTGTCCGAACTTGCGATTAGACAGTCGTCAATATACGCATGTACGAAGTTGAGACCTCGAAAAACGTCGTCTATGAATCTTTGGAATGTCTGAGCAGCGTTTCTTAGACCGAAAGGCATTCGCAAAAATTCATAGAGTCCGAAGGGAGTTATGATAGCTGTTTTCGGTATGTCGTCAGTAGCCATAGGGATTTGGTTATACGCTTTAACTAAGTCGATTTTCGAAAAGACAGTTGTACCTTTCATGGTAGCTGTCAAATCGTGAATGTGAGGCAACAGGTAACGATCGGGAATGGTTTTTGCATTCAATCGCCGATAGTCACCAGTTGGACGCCAATCGTTGCTATCCTTTTTAGGGACCATGTGCAACGGAGATTCATATGGGCTATTTGACGGTTGTATGATTCATAAGTCTACCATGTGGTCGAACTCGTTTTTCGCCAACCTTAGCTTTTCGGGGGCTAGTCATCGTGCTTTAGAGAATACAGGTGGTCCTATAGTCGTGATGTGATGTGTAACGTTGCTGGTTACACACGGTAGTTTCGATTGCCTCTGTTGTATCCCAGGATACTTGTCGAGCGGTGGTTGATAAAGTCGGTTTATCGTGTACTTAATTGCGACTGGGGATAATCCGCAACCAGAAAAAGAAGTTACGCAAACGGATAATTTAGTGTTTCCGTCTACTAGCCTCCGTTTGCGCGTATCGATGATTAGATTATGGTGTTGTAGAAGGTCCATACCAATGATTAGCATAGAAACATCTGCAACAAAGAAGATCCAGTGAATGGGTTTGCGCAAACCCACGTTCAGGTAAACGTACCTTTTGCCATACCTAGCGATAGGCTTTCCGTTTGCCGCCTGTAAATTTAAAACCGATTCGTGAAGCCGGTCGTTGGAATTCGCGGGGAAAACGCTAATTTCTGCGCCAGTTTCGACGAGGTAGCGAAGTCTCGTTATCACATCTGTGACGTATAACAGACGGCTATGTTCGCCGGCTACGGTTGCGTTAACGCGTGCCGGCTTGGGGGTTTCCCGAGTTGCTTTTCGAGTCAGTCGGTTTTGAGATGGGAAAATTGAAGGGTTTTCTGCAGTTTCTAGAAGACTTTCTATACTGGTTATGATACCAGCACCAGCCGGGGTTATCCGTCTCTCGTGGTCTAGAGACAGATCGCTTACGTGAAGTGCTTCTACTTGGGATGTGTGATCGCTTACGGTCGTTACGAAGATTAAGATAACGCGTGAGTGTATGACATAACTCTGTTATGTCATTCTGAGACGTTTGAGGCTTTTCTTTGACTGAACAAAACCTCGGTAGTAGGAGATTTCGTAATTTCTAAGATACGATCGGCAGATGCAGCCAGTTCGTTTTAGGCGTTGTTCTGAAACGAGACCAGAACCGCTTGCACCTGATGGGGAAGTTTAGACCAGAAAAGTTGTTTGAATAGGCTTTCGTCGAAAGTTCTTAGGTCTATAACCTCTCTCATCCTTTGCAACATGTCCGTCGCAGAACTGTGTTGCAGTTCGATGTTATTAAAGAGTTGGTCTAACCTTTGTCGATCGGTTAGGTCTCCTCGCTTAAGGATAGAACGTTTCAGTGTTTCGTAAGTTTCAGAAACATCACTAGTAAACATACTAGGTGTTACGTACCTGTCGAACTCCCGCGATAGTGACTTGACTACTGCGAGGAATTGTGCACGTGTGTCGTTCACGCCATGCTCGTGGAAGTCGGCTGCTGCGTAGCAGAACCAGGCTTTGATATTGTCGGGCCAGAAGGGCATGAGTTGGAACGAGGGTGGGGACATAGTCTTAATCTTAAATACCTTGTGGGTCTGTTCAGTCATAGGGGAAAATTAAGTACAAGAATACACGAGTGAAAAATATATAGATATCTAAAATCGCGGGGAAAAATATCACAATGTATAAAAATTAAGGTAAAGCAATAATATATAGAATCCCAAAATGGAACAGACTCACAGTTTACGATTTGGTGTACCAGATCACGTCGGGCTTACCAATGAAGATGGCACAGGTATTCAGTGTTTGACAACGCTTTTACCAGTAACACCTTCTAATATAATTCGTACCCACGAGGAGAAATCAAAAGACAGAATCGAGGAGATCAGAAATTGTATTTGACGATTGCCAATATATCGGAATTATCTGATCTAATCTGGCTAGCGATTGCAGTAGCAGTTGAGCTCGGCGTTCCCACACGTGATCTGGTGCGGATGCACGACCGAGCGCCTTCAGCTAGATGAGTCCACTAAAACTAATCTGGTCAGCATCCAATGTCGAAAACTTACAGAGTTATTACTTTTGGGGATTTATTTACCGCTTCACCCCCATTTAGAATTCTCTTGCAACCTAAGTGACCGCAACCGCCTTAGTGTATAGCTTGAAGAGGAGACTTGAAAAACAAGTGGAATAACATATTCCGTTTAGTCTTCCATATTGTCTGCATTACCAACTAAAAAACTTATTTGTTTGCTTTTCGAAACAGTGGTCTTCGCCTAGCATTCGAATTTCATCTTTATTGTTTTTCACACTGTCAGCAACCGGCCTCCTGTCTGGTAATTTGATGACTACTTGTACCCATAAATTCTGCTGTTCCGAGACAAGCGCACCCATTCAGACTACCATATATATATATATAAACCCTCGAATAGCTACCGAAATGACTAGAATTAGAAGAGTCAAGTAGCTAGACAGCCGTCCATTTGACACTACCAAAGATTCTGAGTTATACTGAAACAATAAAGAATGAATTCAAAGGAATCGATCGGCTTATTCGAGCCTCCCACAAGGATATTGGATATTGAAAAGACCTTCTTACCATTTGAACCATTTAGGTTGTTTTAGGCGCCCAAGGCGTATGCGACCTGTAAAATGCCTTTTTACGGTGTTCGAGTCGGTCGTGGCATCGGCGTCTTCTCGAGTTGGTGAGTCCCATTAAGTTTTTAACTAAGAAGTAATTGGGTCTGAGTGCAAAGACCTTGTAAAGGGCTACTCTGGAGCTTGCTTTAAGAAATTTACTTCCTACGATGAAGCTATAAAGTTTATTGGTAGTTTCAGTTGCTCCCCGTTAAAAAAATTACTAGAAGGTGGACATGAGGTCGGAACCGTACTTTCGAAAAAGCGAAGGATTGGAAGCATGAATGACGACCTGGATGGTCGAGGTATGGCTTTTAATTGCTACACATTGAGACAGAAGATCGATTACCGAGCAAGCTATCTCCTGAAGAGCATTACATCAGTAGCAACCATGTTCCAAGCACTCTGACATTTTATCATGGTAATCTTTTATTAGTATTTAGGCCAACAGAGATTTAGATATCCAATGCATGCTAATATTTCAGCTTTTAATCTGTCACATCTATCCCCAAGACTACGTGTATTTTGTTAATGCTTCATCCATTCTTTCAAGATGGACTGATTCTCACATGGATCTTAATCCTTATGTATCTACCACTGGAGAATTGATTTGTAAACTCTTTATATATCTTGTGTATTTAAAAGCATGATAAGTGCTGATTTTAAGAACGTCAAAACTAGTTCCTCATATCTTGCAGTCCCAACCATTAGATATCAATAGTATTAAATAGTGATAGTTGTTAATGATTCCTGGTTGTTACTCTAATATCTGCGACTTGAAATTCCAGGCTGAGAAGAATGTTCGTGCGTCGATTTATCTAGACAACGAAAAGCCATGTATTTCAAGGATTTTATAAACTAACGGTTCAGTAGTAGTAACACTAAATAGTAAATGCCGAAATATACTTAAATGGTTAGTTGTTGTCCGGGCTTTGTAAAAAAATGTACGAATAAAGTGAAGATAATATATCGTAAACCTGTGTTAATCCTTCATGTGAACATAACTATGAAAGCCTAAGTCTTGAACTTACTAGTTAAGCCGATACTAATTGCCCAGATAGCGTTTTTCTGTCTTCGGGTGCTCCGTGGGGTCAACGGGGCCGCGCTGCGTTCGTCGGATTCGTTTGGTGACGGCCTCAGCGATATATAGGTTCCGATTCACATTTGTATATTAAGGACAGATAGCCTACGACCTATGTTATTCCTTTCCTAGTATGCTTCTATGAGTGTCTAGTCTCCTCTTGAATGGGTCGATTGAAGGTGCGGACACCACTGCTTCGCGTAACAGGTTCCAAGGATTGATGACTTGGCGTCAAAACCTGTATGCCACGGGTATTTTGTTCGTTCTTGACTTTTCTACTCGCCTGCTATGTCATCTTAGATGTCCCAATCTAGTGGGAAGAAAACGAAGATAAGAAAGAGTGAAGTGGTCTAACTTTTCAAGCCGTTCTTTGTATGGTAAACCCCTTAGTTCCGGAATCGCACGGGTAGTTACCCTCTGTACTTTTTCCGGGATATCCGAGTCACCTTTTAAACAGAGGCTTGCAGCCTGAACGCAGTTTTGAAGCTTAGTTTTCACTAGGGTTTTGTATACTGTAGTGAACATGGCAGTATCTAACTTGGTGAATGCCCATCTTAAAGCTCATAGGGTTCTAAACCCCTTAGCTGCAATCTCGCAGCAGTGGCCTGTGATCCTAAGATCATGACTCACTGTCACCCCAAGATCCTTGTAAGACCGAACCACCGGTACAGGCACTTCTTCTATGCTGTACCTATTTACCTTTGTATCCCGAAAGTGCATGTAGACATACTTTGTTGTGTTGATAGGCACCATCCACTCTTTAGACCAGGTAGTCACAATATCTAAGTCTGCCTGAAGTGCCCATGCATCGGCGTCACCTGTTATTTCTCGCCAGATCTTTACATCATCAGCGTATAGTAACATTGGGGACTCAACTATACTTGGGGCGTCATTTACATACAGTATGAATAGTAAAGGACCTAGGACAGAAACCTCCAGTATTCCACTAAGTACTGGTCTACAGTTGGAGCACTTGGGATTCACTCTTTCTGTCTACGACCTACCAGGAAATCCTTAATCCAATATAGGAGGGGTCCGACAGTGCAAAGGTTTTCCAGCTTCAAGAGCAGTCTATCTGTTGGCACCTTATAAAATGCTTTGCTGAAGTCTATATAGACAACATCCACTGATTTTCCATTGTCTAGAACCTTTATCGATTGCTCCCTTGCTATAAGGAGGTTTGTTGTGCAAGATAAACCTTTCCTGAAACCATGTTGTTCGCTGTTTAACAAGTTGTTGGTTTTCATGAATGTCATTATGGTCTTTTCGACTATTCTTCCCATTAACTACGACAGTGGTGAGGCCGACAGATCTTTAGTTCGATAGAAGTTGTCTTGGTCTTGTTTTATGTATTTGAGTGACGATTGCATCCTTCCAGTTCGTAGGTAACACACCTTAGCCAAGTGACATATTGAATATCACAGTTAGTGAGGCTGCAATATATTGTGCAATTTGTCTCAGGATTTTGGGTTGTAGTTCATCCGATCCTGTTGACTTTTCCATGTCTGAGGTACTAAGAACCTTAAGTACATCATTTCGATCAAAGCACACAGTGAACAGACAGTTTGTTGACTTTCTATTTGGGCCTAGTTCTTCGTCTAGAAGACTAGTAAATGTAGTAAGATGTTATAACACGCTAGCGCCATTATAATGATATAAAATCTCAAACTAAATGTTAAATGGTCTTAAACTCAACCTCATCACCTGCTTTGATTTGGAGATTAATTGGTGTTATTAGCCCCAGGTAGTATGTGGATTGGGTTCAGTACTTAAATTTGCATGTGTTTTGTGGTTAGTACAATTTATACCAAAGATTAAGGTTGGAATTCCTTCGTATCTTCCTGACGATGTACGTTCTTATATAGTAGATTGACCCTCTGTATTTACTATATTGTTCTCATTAAAGTAGACGTAGTGCAGTTCTGATCTTTGTGAGTCGGATTTTGTAGCTTCAGTTGGTAGAATATTAGTTTTAGTTCTGTTGTTCTGCTGTCAATAGTAAATCTTTCAGCGTGCAATAAATTAGGGCTGTAATGTTCATAACTAGACACAACAATATAGCTTCTTAAGTTGTTGGATCAAAAAATTGTAGTTATCTGCAGACACAAAATCAGTTAATAATTTGACATACTCAACCATGCTGGAGAATCGCACAACATTCAAAACCGGAAATTGTTACGAAAAATTTTGGTTAATCATAGTTTGTTCTTATTGTTATTCAAACGAATGAACATCGATACAGAGGCACCAAAATATGTATGCGCTTCCAAAGTCATTGCATTTGTGTCTGGAGTGGGGTACTGCCCGGATGCCCAAATCGAAGCCAATGGTTTTTCTTCCGACTGTTGCTGCTACCTTGACGTGGTGGTTGGGCTTGCCTATCGTAATGAACCAATCGAGCTATACTGGCTGGAAGCCCCTATCGTACCAGACAGGCCGGTTGAAGAACGACAAGACTGAAAGCAGCAAACCCAAGGTCCAAGGGCGAAGTTATACTGCTACCTGTACAGAGGCATGATGGTAGCATGATGTTTCCCTCAAACAGCCAGTATAACAGTGATGTTGCCTTCCCACAAGGAAGGGTAGGGTTGGAAAAGGTTGATCCTAAAAGCGCACACCTCACCTTACCTCATGGATTTTCATCTCCAGCGGTGAGGTCCCGACAAGTACGGAGCTAACACTAAAACTACTCGAATAGGTCGTGTGTAACCGGCCTCAAGCAGTTGTCCGTTGGGCACTGCGGTCACACTATTAGGTTACTAAGACCATCTCTAATCGAACTCGCTTTTCAGGTACCTCTAGAAGAACCGTTCCACAGTGTGGGCAACCGGGGATTGATAACCACCTTCATACCTCTAACCGCACTCAAGATCACAGGTGGTTTTCTTAGAGGGTCACTACCCGAGCTTTTAACCTAGAAGTCTAATCCTCAAAGCGATGGAGCAGCGTTATGAGATGTGGTCCTATGGTAGTCGGTGACCAACAATAGGTTCATGTGTCATCTCAAGTTTCGGCGTATGTGGAAATCTATCAGTATTATTTGACTCCATTGTTAACCTCAACGGTTTGATATTATATTAACTGCTACACCCCTGTCGTATTCCGTAATGTAGCCGTCAATTATGACTAGTAAAGTCAAACATGGTGCTATGGGCATCTAATCAACAATCCCTATCAATTAGTCTAGATATCATGAAACTATCAAGTAAGCAGCTTTGGGTAAACAAGACATTATGTAATAAGTTAGCTCCAGTCGATTAAGAGTGGTTATAAATACTTACTTAGGGGACGAACCGTGAAAAATATAATGGGTGTTGAATTAAAACAGCGCTATCATATAGTCATGCGCTGTTTAGTCGGTCGCAGAACTATTTTCCTTCACACTTCAAACATTCAATACGCTGTTATTCTATTCTTATTCCGCGATTTTGTGTACATTTTCTCTTACTGGCGGTTCCGTGTTACTGTTAGTATTGTTTTCAGTTACTGGGTTTTCTTATAGTTGATTTCGCATTCTCCATGTTTCCTTGCTTATCTGTACAGTCCGTCTTTCTGTTATGGTTATATCTTGGAAAAATATCTCTACTCAATTAACCTGACTTGATGCATCTAGAAAGCCAGCCAGTAATAGTCTGGTATAATCTTACCTAACTCACCATAATGTTATTATTTTCTTAAACATGGTACTTATTTATTTATTTATTTTGACACAGATATCGGTACAAGAAGGCACCAAATACATACGCGCCAAACAAATCTCATTTGATTTGTGTGAGGGCTGTGGTACTGTCCGGGTGCCCAAAACGAAGCAGGTGGTTTTCTTAGAGGGCCATACCCCGAGCCTTCGATCTAAAGGTCTGATCCACAAGGCAGTGGAGCATCGTAAGGAGATGCAGTCCCATGGTAGCCGGTAACCAACAAATGGTTCATACGCCATTTGTTCCTTCAGGATACTGGAGCTCATGTGCACCATTGGTTTGGAATCCGGTTAAAGCGCCGGACATTCGCTTTTCGTTCTCTCATTTTCGTAAATAACACCCCACCACGTGTAGTAAGCAAGTTAATGGGAATCTATATCAACTTACTGACATTGTTAAGTAATTAAACCTATTTGTCGTTTCACGATTGATATCCTTTTCCTCTTTGTCTCTTAACCAGATGCATCATGCCCGCGACGTGTGATGGTCTATACTGATGGTTCATGTAACGGTGCACATGATGATCGTCGTGCTGGTTATGGTGTTTACTGGGGGCCCAATCATCCATGGTAAGCATCGAATTGGCTCTTATCATTCCAAGGAATGTCTCTGAGCGGTTGGAAGGAGAGCAAACAAATAATAGAGCAGAAATTGAGGTAAACTTTTATTTTGATAATAATTGCTTCTAAATATCGACCACATTTATTTAAAAAGTTTTCTGTAACTAGCTTATTATTAATACTGGTATGTAATAAAAGATGTGACCTTGAGCTTCAGGCCGTCAAACGTCTTCTCATAGTAAAAGAAGTTGATGTTTAGTGACGAATTCCATTCAATCGATTGTTAAACGACGATCCGTAGTGTCGCAACCTGGTCTGTGCACGATCGATTCTTACGGAATCCAGCCTGTTGATCTTGAAGTTGGACGTCTACTGTATCTTCCACTCGGTTCAACAACACTGTCGAAAACTTTTCCTGGTACTGATAGTAGTGTGAAGCCTCTGTGTTTCTAACACTTGCTGAGATCCGCTTTCTTTGGTATCTCGATGAGATTTCCTTCTTTTCAGTCTGTCGTCACTTGTTCTTCCTCCCAAATCTTTATAAATAGAATGCGGAGCATGTTTGCAGTTACCTCTATGTCTGACTTCGATGCTTCAGGTGGTAGATTTTCAGAGCGTGCTGTTTCCCCACTCTTGATTTGTCTGATGGCCATGTTGATTTCCTCGACCGTTGTGGAATGACATCTATGGGAAGGTCTGTGTATTTTGCTTCGATGTCTGGTGAGTTCAGTGAGACTGATCTTCTCAAGAGTTCTTCAAAGTGTTCTACCCATCTGTTCCTCTGTTCCTAAATCTGAGTGATTGGCATGCCTTCTTTGTCCTTGACCGGTCTCTCTGCTTTACCATATTTCCCTGACAGTTTCTTCGTTGTATCATATGGTTGTCTCATATTTCCCCTCTGTCATTGCTAGGTCTTGCACATATTTCCGTTCGTTGGCTCTAATGCCCTTCTTCCTCGACCGAAGCTGCTACCTTGACGCCGTGGTCGGGCTTGCCTATCGTGATGACCCAACCGAGCTATATTGGCTGGAACATATGTTCCTGTAGGTTCTACCATGCCAGGCAGGTCGATTGGTGAACGGTAAGACTAAAAGCAGCAACTCAAGGTCTGAGGGCGAAGTCGTACTGCTGACTGTAGAGAGGTGTGACAGCAGTAAGGTGTTTCCCTCGGACAACCAGCATGACAGCGATGCTGCCTTCCCACAAGGAGGGGTGGGGTTAGAAAAGGTCGACCCTAAAAATGTCACACCTCACCTTACCTCACGGATTTCTGTCTCCGGCGGTAAGGCCCTTTGAAGAACGGAGCTAACACGTCAAAAACCTTCCACAAAAGGCCGTTCGTGACCGGCCTCAAGCAGTTGTCCCTTGGGCTCTGCGGTCACGCTCCTAGGTCGTCAAGACCAACACTAATCCAATTTCCTTTTCAGGTTCCTCAAGAAATACCCTTCCACGGTGTGGGCAGCCGGGAAGTGACATCAGCCCTCATACCCGTAACAACACACGAGACCAAGTTGGTCACATTCAAATCCTTCCTACACCTCCTAATACCTCTCTTATCTCCATGACTAACCCTCCTCACGTCTCTTTATCACCTCGAACCGCTAGGGCAAACAATTCGAGTACGTGGAACGCTATTCCTGGTCTCCTGAAACCACGCTCTAAACTACACGTAGGAGTTTTTAACGTACGAACACTTTGCGAAATAGGACAGTAGGCTTCCTTAGCTGGGACTTTAGAATCTCGCACCTTCGATGTGTGCTGCGTCTCCGAAACGCGCATACAAGGTCCGAGTAGCGTCATTCATTTGACCTCACCATGCCAAAATAAAGAACCGACTCGATTTACGCTTCGTGTATCTGGAAGCCCTGATTCTGCTTCCCGTGGCCTCGCTGGCGTAGGTATAGCATTGAGTCCTAGGGCAGAACTAGCTCTCTTAGAGTGGATCCCAGTAGACAGCCGTTTGTGCGCTGTCCGACTGAACGGAACAGTAAGAATCCGGAAAGATAGGGACACTCGTCGTTGCCTCTTCGTCGTTTCTGCCTATTCTCCCACTGACTGCAGCTCAGATGATGTCAAAGATGAGTTTTACAGAAAGCTCTCCGACCTTCTCCGAAAAGCTAGGCGCTCTGATGTAGTAATAGTGGCCGATGACTTTAATGCTCAAGTAGGTAAACTAAGCGATAGGGAAGGACACCTAGGTGGATCTTATGGTGTCGTGGCTCAAAGAACAGATAATGGCGACCATCTGTTGCAGCTATGCTCAGATAACCGTCTGTTCCTTGCAAATACTAACTTTAAGCATAAGGAAAAACATCTTTTAACATGGCGACCCCCTAATTCGTCCCAACGTTGGACCCAAATAGATCACATCGCTATCAGCCACCGATGGAGGGGCTCGATAGAAGACTGTCGCTCATTCTGGAGCACATGCTTAGATTCAGATCATGCTCTAGTGCTTGCGTCTTACTGGACGTAGGAAAGACGCTGCAAGGAAACCTCTTAGGGGCCTACTTAATGATAGTCAAGCTAAGAGTATATTTCAGGAACAACTAGGAAAACAGTTAGGCAGACATGTATGTGATGCTCACCCCGATGCAGCATGGAATGATATCCGAAAAGCTGTGGCGGCGGCGGTAAGTAATAGCAGACAATTGTTCAGACTCGTTAAGGAAACCGGTATTAGGAACCCGATCGTTAGCGAAACAATCTCAGAGAAAGATGGACATCTTATACATTCTCAATCCAGGAGATCGGATCGATGGGCAGAACACTTTAGGGATCAGTTCAACTGGCCTTCAGCCACACTTTGGTTTCCCACGATCTCTAGTCAACCTGAATGGCAAGTTAATGTAAGTCCTCCGTCCCTTTACGAAGTTGAAAAAGCCATAGGAAATCTGAAACGAGGGAGAGCACCAGGCCCTGACAGGTTTACTCCTGAGATTTTTAAGGATGGTGGTTCAGTATTAGCAATGAGATTAACCGAGGTCTTAGGTAGAATTTGGGAACTGGACGTAATCCCATCTGACTGGTCTCAATCACTGATTGTGCCAGTCTATAAGAAAGGACAAAAGTCCTCTTGTGACAATCACAGAGGAATCAGTTTGACTAATATAGTGTCTAAAATATTAGCCTCAATAATGCTTTAACGCCTAATCAAAGCTCGTGAAGAGCAGATTAGAGAAAACCAGGCCGGTTTTCGACCTGGACGTGGTTGTATAGATCAGATATTCACACTACGTCAGGTTCTAGAACACAGACACACATTCAGACGCCCCACAATGGTAGTATTTCTCGACCTTAAGGCGGCATTTGACTCTGTTGATCGTGAGATTCTATGGCAGTGTTTGTCACTGAAAGGAGTACCAAAGAAGTACATTAACCTTATAAAGGTTCTCTACTCGAACACAACTGGTAGAGTGAGAGCTTATGGCGAACTGTCATCAGAATTGATTACCTCAATTGGTGTTCGTCAGGGCTGTCCACTCTCCCCATTCTTGTTCAACTTTGTGGTCGACATACTTTTAGAGATAACACTCTCCTCATCTAAATATACAGGGGAGGTTCACTTGTTGACTTAGAATATGCTGATGACATAGTTCTGTTTGGTGAAGACGCTGACAAGATGCAGAGTCTTCTGACCACTCTAAGCAACAATGCAAGCATGTTCGGGATGCGATTCTCTCCCTCGAAATGTAAAATGTTGCTTCAGGATTGGGTTACATTGACACCCGAACTAATGATAGGGAGTGAAGTAGTTGAGTGTGTCGACCGCTTCACTTATCTTGGAAGTCTCATCAGCCCTTGTAGTCTGGTGTGTGACGAAATCTCAGCACGGATACAAAAGGCTCGACTAGCTTTTGCCAACTTGCGTCATTTATGGCGTAGGCGAGATATCCGTCTATCAACCAAAGGACGTGTTTACTACGCAGCAGTTCGTCCCGTCCTACGTTATGGCAGTGAAACATGGCCGGTAAGAGTAGAGGATATTCGTAGGTTACTAGTATTCGATCATAGGTGTCTTCGAAACATTGCTCGTATATCCTGGGACCATCGAGTAAGTAACGCAGTTGTTAGGAAACGGGTATTAGGTAAGGATGGCAAATCAGTTGAAATGGCTGGGGCATGTGTTACTTATGCCCAACCACCGACTACCTCGACGTGCTATGTTCAGTGGTATAGGAGTAGGTTGAAAGAAAGCTAGAGGCGGCCAAACCAAAACATGGCACAAGTCCATGAAGTCACTGACAAGTGGACTGAGTCATGTTGGTAGGTGTAGACTACCTGGTTGGGGACCACGAGATGATAGCCACCGATGGTTAGAGACGTTGAATGACATAGCTCAAAATCGTTTGCAATGGTGCAGGTGCATCCACTCCTTGTGTTCTCCCAAATTCTAATCTTGTGAATTCTTCATGTCTTGTTTTCTCTTCCCAAATTGATTTCACTGGATTATACTCTTTAAATAACATCTCCAAACCCTAATTTTCCCGATTACTGCTTATACTCTTGCTACCTCTACCACTACGGGATTTGAATCGACCACTGCATCTGTGTGCTAATGTGGTATGGCAACTCGAACTGATGTACGTACGTACGAGGTTCTGTGTTGTTACTGACTGATGCCCTTCTTCACTTGCTTGTTTACTTTTGTGTATTCGGTCTGTGCCTTGACTCTTTCTGTTCTTGTTTGGCTGTTGTTATTTGCTGTCTTCTTGTTCTTCCTTTCTTGAATCCTGTTCAAGGGTTCAATAGAGATTCATTCCTTATGATGATGCATTTTGCGGTCCAGCACCTCCTGACACGTTGAAGTTAGTTATTCCTTGTTTTTTCCCCAGTACTTCTCCATAGAAGTTTCTTCCAGTAGATCCTGTAAGGCTTGGCAGCTGTTGTTGAGAGTTATCCTGAATTCGTTGAGTTTGTCAGTATATCGAAGAAAGACTGTACTGAACCCTTGTAATGCTGTTTCCCCAGCTGTCCATTGCTTCTTTAGCTTCAGTTTTATTGTAGCAGTCACGATCAGGTGGTGATCTAAAGCTATGTCAGCTCCTCTCCTGGTTATCACGTTTCCCATTGACCTTCTGAAACTTTTATTGATG